CTATAGCCTTAAGTACTTCTAATCTAAATAATACTTAAATTAACAATAAGCCTGTTAGGCTAAGTTTCTTAAGAAGTTTAATTTTAAGGTAAAGTACAGGCCTAGTAAATAAGGCACTAAGCTAGATAGTCTAATACGTTAGACTAGCGACTTACCTAAACACGTTACTAATAACTACGTTTAACACTAATACTAGATAATTCTAGATAATTACTACTAGAATAGTAGTAGTTATAACGCTATCTAACTTATAGAACTCTGCCTAGGTAAGGCCTTATACAACCTACTATTAATTCTTACTCTATTAAGTAAAGCTAGAGAGTATAACATTAATAGCGTTCTATAGCTAAGTTCTACTATAATAGGCCTAGCCTAGTTCTTATTGCGTAATAAGCCTAACCTATATAATAATCTAGTTAGAGCTAATAATCTTATAACCTAGAAGGTTATAGATTATCTATATTCTCTTAACACTTACCTTACTACTATTTGTAACACTCTTAATAGTAGTAATTATTATATCTCTTATTACCTTATTACTAAGAGCATACGCCTAGAGCTAAAGAATTTAGAAGTAAGTAAAGATAGAAAGCTATTCTTAAGTAATAACTATCTTTTTATTTCTTTTAGTAAGAAGCTAAGAACTTATATTATTAAGAATATCTATAATACTTTACCTAGTAGCTATAGAGGTTACACTACTACTTACTAGTAAGTTAGTTAATAGTACTACTAGTAAGGTATAACTAATATAATTATACACTTTACTAATAACTATACTATATGTTATTATTCTAAAGTTAATTACAGCGCTAAGTATAGTCTTCTTTATTCTCTCTCTATTCTAAAGTAGTATTAGAAAGATATCTCTATTAACTTTATTACCTTGTTACTACTATCTACCTAGTGTAGTTATTTATATTATTACATTATAGTAGTAGTAGATAGACTATCTAAGAAGAAGAAGTTTATTACTATAGAGAATATAGAGGTGTCTACTATTATTAACAAGTTTTTTAAGTATATCTAGAGAGAGAAAAGATACTCTAAGACGCTAGTGTCTAACTAGAAACGCTAATTTACTTTCTACTTCTAGCGTTATCTCTATAACTAGGTAGAAACTTATTCTAAATTATCTACTATTTACTATCTAGAAATAGATAGATAAATAGAGAATATAAATATAGACCTAAAATAGTATCTATAATTCTATATTAACTATTTACAAGATAACTAGGCTTATCTTCTTTTTCTTACTAAATTTAAGACTAATTTAGCTATTAGCTTAGTAACTAGAGTTTCTCTATTCTAGGCTATAAAGAGCTACTAGCTCTGCGTAGGTTTTAAACTACTACACGCTATTACTAATACTATAACTACGCCTATATAACTACGCGCTACTAACACTCTAGTTAGTTATATTAATACAACGTAATAATATCTTTGTAATAAGATTATATAGTCTTAGGCTAAAATAAAGAAGTTTACTAACGTTTATTACTACTTAGCTCTACGCTTCGCTATTAGCGACTAGGTTCTTCTTAATACTAAGTATATTTGCACTAAATAACTAGTAAAATTCTTAGACTATAAGAATATAGGTTCTTACTAGATTATATATATTATTAATAATATAGCTTATAAATTAGATCTCTCTAATAGCCTTAAGAACCTATTTCTAGTATTCTATCTATAGCTTCTATAGCTCTATAAAGACAACGCACTGCCTAGATAGCTCTAAGCTACTAATTGCGCTCTACTTAAGATCTATCTTACTAATAATAGTAAGACTAAGTATATTATTATCTAGGTTCTTAATTTCTATATCTATAATATAATAAACAATCTCTATACTAGCTATTACAGCTACTTATAGTATAAGGTAGAATAGATAGGTAATAACTAGACTAGCTACTAGTAACTATACTTTAACTTACAAGAAAGTAAAGAGTTTATTTAGAATTACTATAACTATAACTCTAGTAAACTAGAATCTTATAATATATTCTACGCGTATAATAACTATAGAGAGCTTATAGTTACCTTACTCTATCTATTAGATAAGAGCTTAAAAAGAACTAGCTAGTTATTTATAGACTCTCTTAACTATATTACTTATAAAGCCTATTAAGCTAATTATAGTGTACGTCTTTACCTAACTAAGATATCTATAAATATTCTTAGCCTTAAAGTAGTTAATTCTAACTACTCTACTTATAACCTTATATCTATACCTAGAATAGAGTTCTCTATATAGGCACTCTAGTTTATAGCTAGATCTTACTATACTTCTAGACTCTACACTACTTCTAGACTCTACTTTACTTCTAGACTTTACTCTACTCTTAGACTCTACTCTACTTAAGATCTCTATTCTACGTAAGAATATATACTACCTCTACGCCTCTTATTAACTCTATAACCTTTGTTTTTCTCTATCTCTCTATTACTTACACGCCTTATAACAGCGTTATATTATATCTTACTTCTTAGTTAAAGTACATAGCCTAGATTCTTCTTAGAAGGTATAGCTAAGTCTATAGAATTCTATTTTAATATTCTTAACGCTTAGTTAGAACTTTAAGCGCTTTTAGAAGAAGACGTATAATAGTTTAGTTTCTTAGGTATTAGGCCTACTTTAGGCTAATAGCCTATATATATATATTCTACTTCTAAGTACTTCTTCTAAGCCTTACTATAATAATATTATAATTTAATATAATATTATTATCTAATCTTTATGTAACTCTTACATTATAAGGTTACTACTATTTTTATTTCTAATAATACCTTTAATAATATTATTAAGCTCTTTATATATATAAAGCTAAAGACTTTTAAATAACTTTATAAAAGAGTTCTTACTAATAATACTACTACTACTAATAAAATAATTATTAATATACTTATAAATAAATTTTAAAAAAAAGTATAAAAATAAGTAAGACGTATCTTAGTTAAAGTTTAAAGTAAGTAAAAGTAATAGGTAGATTAAGTAGACTAGTAATTAATAAGCCTACAGGCATATACTATAACGTCTTCTGCAGCGTAACATTAGGCCTCTATAGATGCAAGGTGCTAATCGCACAATTTCTCATTTTCTATGTATGTAAATATTAAGACGAGTATAGAAGCCTCCATATACTATCGCCACTGAAAGCTGTCAAAGTTGACGTCCTCGTACTCGTCCTCCAGGTCGCTGGTGATCGGCCACCCGTTGCCCTAAAAGATGGTGAAGGACTAGTTATCCACATCTCGCACTAAAGCGCCGGACGCTATGGCACAGGACTATGGGCCTCCACCCCGTTCCGAACCAACAACGCCGCTGTCAAAGCAGTCACCTTGCCCTCCCTCATACGCCCTCCATCCCTGACACTGCTTTTTCTCGACATCTCCGCATCTAGAGCTGCCAACCCATTACCTACCCATTCAAGAGGCCACCTCCTCTTACACAAGTCTCGCTTGCTCCGCCACTGCCCCTTCCGTCTCTGGTTCGCGTCGATCCTTGGCGGAAAGCCCCCCCCTGCAGTCCCATGTCAGTCCCATGGATTGGGCATGATCGCCAGGGAACAATGAAGCCGGACGCCAGCCAATAGCATCCAGCGTTTGACACGTTTCTGCTCCCCCCACCGCTGCTTTGTCTTGCACTTGAACTTCGGCCTTTCTTGCGTTCATTTCTTGCGTTCGTGATGAAGAAACAATCTAGCATACAACGTGTCGCGTCGCGCCTCGTGATCCACAGCGTTCCGTCATTGGCCTGATACGTCACAACGGCCTATCAACAGTTTCGTGCACGCTTAGTGAGACGACTTGTAACCACCATCATCGATGCATCGGAATTGCATCGAACTTAAACACGGCCAGATGCCTTTCTTTACTGCTTCGGGGCATTCTACACAGTCCTTGTGACTGGCGGGATTTCGTGAAGCGCATGAACAGAGTGGTGTTTTCGGGCTATATGGATGCTCGCAACCACACTCCAAGAGAGGAGCAACTCTCACGATGGGTCCGTGCGCTTACCCTCAGCTCACGTCCATCGATCGCGAACAACCGTCTATGTTTGTTTTTTTGTCATCATCCCTGCGCAACCGTTGCTATGAGAAGACAGCGCACCCACACCCCTTCAAGGGAAAGTCTGGACATAGGCCCTGAATTCTACACGGCCTTGTATTCTTCAGCTCGTAGATCGATAGGCCAAAGTAGCCTTCTTAGCTTTTTCTTTAATGATTGTACTGCGGAGATAGGTGTCTAGTTCCTCCCTTGAATGGGGTACGCCTAATTCGATATCGGGATGATCTTCATCGTCACGTACTCCTCCCAGATCAACAGCCTTGTCATCACTCTGTACGTCTCCTCTATGCATCAGGAATACATAAGCATGCTCGATGGCCCCCTTTCTCTATGCCCCCGAGACTGCGCATTCACTCTAGATGATTGTTCAAGGCCGCCTTACCTGCCACGATGTGAAGGCTTCACATGGAAGGAGCGAAATGATGCCGCCGCGGATCCGATGAACAACGCCCTTCAATGGGTTGTAAACCTTAGGCATATGACGAAGTTCAAGCCCGCCCGATAACCTTCTGCAAGTTTATCAGACTCGTGTTGAGGCATGGGTAAATGCGGATCACATCGTATTCTGGAAAAGCCTAAACTTTACGGCCATTTTCTGACGTGCAGGACGCCAAAGTCCAATGAAGGAGCCTGCGTAAGAATCACATGTTCGAGCAATCATGTCGACGACTGTGAGCGCGTGGAGCCGTCATTTCACAAACAACTAGCAGTTTTTAAGAGCGGCGAGATTGGGTATTTGTATGGAGAGCCGTAGTCACAAAGCACATTACACGTGAGGACGCATACGTGGGGTCGTTTGACGGAGTCTGATTTGGCTTGCTGTCGAGAGATCCCCCCACCTATGATACATCTGATCCCCAGCTATGCCCATTCTATGCTTTCGTGACCTGTCGATACAAAGGAGATGTCGATTCGCGAAGGGCAGTCGCTTATTTCTGGCCGAGAGATGATGCGCGCTCGTCTTCGAGCTTCTGGTAGAAGGCGTCACGGTGACGGACGGCAGGGACGTGGTAGCCTTGGATAGTAAGTACGGGTGTAAGAAGAGTCTTCGAGGATAGGAAGCGCAGTCGCATCGCCTGTGACTGATTCACGTACCGTACCACCAGCCGTAGCCGGCAGTGAGGCCAAGACCTGTGACTGCTGTTAGCCGATGTCCAGAGCTGACGCGCGCATTGCTACAGAGCTCTTTGAGCCCCGAAAATAGCAGCCATGCACTGCCCGATTCCTACGCACCCATAGCGACAGAGAGGTCGAGCACGACCTGTCGTCGGAGCATCTGCAGTCCAGTCATTAGCATCCAGCGCACGACGGCCCACGGCACTCAATGGCAGCACCTACGCCGGTGATCGGTTTGACAGCCATTGCGGAGTTGGGTTCGGGAGAGCGGAGAGTTTTGGGGCGCGGGTGCGGTTTGCGGGAGCTGGTGGATGTCGTCGGCGGCTCTCTGAAGGTGTGGTGGTTCGACGGGAGAACGCAGTGCTGCTGACGTAAGGCAGGCGTCCTAGCGTCCCGCGCCTTGGAAGCTCCCGACCCAACTGAAGAACAACGGCAGCAGGCAGGTGAAAGGAACAATACCATCGAATAAGAAACAATACGCGTCTGCACGTCTGCTCCCATCGCGAGGGCACCCTTTCGCAACCGATGCGCCCTCTCACTCCCGTCTGCGCCCTTACCCACCGATAGAGACGTCCCCGGAACCACCATCGCGTGCGCAACCTGCTCCTACGGCGTACCCTCCCACCGGATCCGCGACAACGAGCAGCATATGCCAGGCATCATACTATCCCCCAGCGCCAGCAGCGAGGGCGCAATCGCAGGCATGAAGCGGGCACATGACGCGGAACATGCGCCGACGTACGGAGAGCCGCACCCCAAGAAGCGACAAGTCGTACGGGCGCTGCACCACACACAGCCGATCCAGCACATTGCCGACCCCATCAGCGCCGAGCACGACGTCTTTGGCGAGAGCAAAGACTTTTTCGACCAGCAGCTGCGGCGCGCAATAGCCATTCAATGTAAAGGCATCGGTTTCGAGAGCGCGCGTCCGGACGCGTTGGAGGAGTTCCGGGCGCTTGTTGATTCCTGTATGGCTTCACCTTGCGACAGAGACTGGCCGCGAGTGCCCACTGCAGTTTTCCAGACTGACCCGTCACAGACATGACCAACTTTCTAACACAAGTACGCACGTCTATGATCAGCTCGCGACGCACCGAAACGGTCGCGCACGACTGGATCTATGCCCTCACATCCGCCGGCCTGCGCGGCTCTGCGCCCCTCGAACAACATTTCGATACAGGCGAGATCCCGCCGTCTGTCTTACAGCCCTACTTTGCACCTCCCGCGCCTCCAGAAGCTCCGCCGCCCGACACCGAGTCATTGCTAGGTCCTGGACTCTCCGGCAAGGCGGACAAAGAAACGCGTCCATACATACCAAAACACTTCCCTGGATTCCCGTCGAAACACACATACACAGCGACGCCCGTCTTCACAAAACGCGAAAATGACCCGCGCAAAATCAGGGAAAAGGCGACAGAAGAGGGCATTCTTGCCGAGCAGAGTCTGCGAAAACTCATGGCGGCGCAAAAGGCAGGCGTGCAGAAGCAAAATGTTGGCAAGCGGAAGCGCAGTAGGCGCATGAAAGAGAGCGACCAACTGTGGCAAGCCGCCATGACAGACCTGCTGGACGAGGAGAACCAGCGAGAGAAGGAGGAAGAACGGCGGCAAGCTCAAATGGACGAAGACGACGAAGACTACAACACGCATCAAGACGCTCCAATACGGCAGCCCACCGCCGATCGTAACGTCAACCTGGAAGAAGGCGTGCACGTCAACTACGACCAAAAGTACTGGAGGAAATCCGCGACGGGCGTCTCATAGTTCGTCACAGCCGGTCAATGGCGGCGACACCTTCAGAAAAGTCGTTTTACAGCATTTTGATAGCGAGGCGTTTGGGTACCTGCATTTCGGCCGCGGGGCTTCGAGATACGTTTTAGGCATTAAGGCGGCGTTGATTGTCTATTTTTTTTTCTTCGTTGCAAGTTGTACTATAGTCTACTCGCTCTCCTACACAGCACAGCGTAGCTGAAGGCTACACAAAGTTTGGTCAATGCGAACTCATTATTCATCCCATCGAGTTCTTATCTAGATTGGATTTACTCCTGGAATCCTTAGCAAGATCTCATAGTTGAAAATACATGCATAGTAATCATGTCTCCGGTGTAAACCGCCACCTCATGTATGATGTTGTGTGAGGCTATAGGTGGTGACTCGATCTCATCGCTCAACCATCGCACCTTCCTGCTTCGCCTTCCACTCCTCCCACGCCGTAGTCTCAACAGTCAACCCTCCTGAACACCTATAATCTCATTAGCCATGCGCTCAACCTGATTACACCAACTCCCAGTTCCTGGTCACAATGCCAAGACCTCGTGCCTTCCACCTCACTCCACCAACACTCACTTTCTCAACAAATGAACCAGCGGCTCGCATATAATTTGCGGCACACCGCCCTTCTTCTTCGGCGCCTCTACGTTGCATTTATACTGCACGAGTTCCTTTAGCGCGCAGTCGCTCAGATTGACCGGTGGATTCCGTCGTTTGCCCGACGGCAGAGTGTTGAGCGAAGCTTCCAAGTCGGTCACCGGGATTGTGGAGATTGGTGGCGCCATTGCGCGGGGGAAGTGATATTGAAAGAGTAGGGTCGTGCTTGGGAAGGACTGGAAAGGATCAAGGGGTGATCTGCATGGGAGATGGAAATGAATGGTGATGGGGCGAAGAGGTTGGGTGAGAAGTTGTTGATGGAAGTTGAGGTCGAGGATCTGAGCGAGGTATGGAATGTTGACACACGCTCGATGCGCGAAGTGAGTAATGTTAACGAAAACGCAGCTTTTCAAGTCTCTACGTGAGTTTATGGTGCAGGAAGATGGAACGTACGTTTATCCTTCACAACTCAACTAATCTTTTCTCTCAAACTCTTACTCTCGCGACTCACAAATTGATGCTCATCCAACAGAGCCAACAACACAAACACCGCCCAACCCTCTTATTTCAACTTACCAGAAATCGACCGCCTAATGCTAAACTCATCTTCGCCAATCCTCGAAATCATCTCTCCACCGCCAACCCATCACGCCTCAGGAGCCGGAAAGACCTCACTAATCTACCTCATCATCGCCCACGCCATTCTCCCACGCAACTTCTCTTCCACCCCTCTCTACGGCCAAGAAAGCGCCGTCATCCTCTTCGACCCACTGCATCACTTTAGCATCCCCCGACTAGTAGAAGTCATGTCCACCCTTCTCAAAACCAGCCTCGCTACAACGGAACAGGAAATCACCGCCACCCTAAAAGCCTCCATGAAATCCGCCATCAAAACCGCACTACCACACCTCCACATCTTCCACCCCACCTCCTGGTCCTCTTTCCTATCCACCCTCGATTCCCTACCAGAATACCTTCTCAATGATAATCCCCAACACAAGAGCATGCACCGCCGCATCCACTCCCTCATCCTCGAAGACATCGACGCGTTCGTCTGGTCGATACGGAATACCAGTACTACCATGTCTAGCTCCTCGAATACCCTCGCGACGGCATCCGCACAGCTTACCACCCGCGTTGCGAAGCTGGGCAAGCTACTCTCCTGTGCTACGGTATTGACATCGGAGTCTAACTTGCTGTCATCGTATCGGCCGGCGTTGCCTACATCATGGCCTCAAGGTACGCCTGTTACACGGTTAGCAGTTCGGCGGGTGGATGTGCTGAAGTTTGCTCCGGGGGTTAGTGTGGAAGATGCTGAGAAGGAGAGAGTGCAACGGTGGGAGGTGGTTAGTCGGGGGAGGTTTGAGTGCTGGAGGGTTGGTGTGGGGGCGAGGGACGGTGAGGGTTTTGTTTTCAGGGTAGGGAAGGGGATTGAGATGGAAAGGGATGGAGCAAGGTGATGCGTGGTATTTATTGAAGGAGTCTGGCGTTTGCAACGGCTTGGGATGATACCCTTTAGAACATGATTCAAAAACAGCTCTGATCAGCATGTGTTTCAAAATCGGTAGTATGATATACCAGACTACAAATATTCCTTCTGCTCTTTACACATATCGTATACCATATCCCCATCATTTCCATATCCCAGACCACCCAGGCTCCGGCGCCATCCAAGCCAAGACCCTACAAGAGCCACCCAAATAGCCCCCCCAGAAACAACACACCATCTAAGCGTCCCTCCCCCAAAGCACCTTCCTCCTCCCCCGGTCCTCCCTCGCCTCCCGCCTCCTCGTCCCCCACTTCCTCCTCATCGCCTCATGTTCCTTCTCCACCCTCTCCGCCTTCTTCTCATTCTTAGCCACCATACCCACAAAGAACTGACTACAGCCAAACTTGTCCGCCAGCTTAACCCTCGTCCACGTATCCGGGTCCGCACTCCTCAGCCTCCTAATCTCTGCAATGTCGGCCTCGTTGAGATGGTACGTCTTCTCGTACGGCTTCCGCAGCGGCGCAGGCAGGGATGCAGAGGGGCGCGGCGGCAAAAACGCTTCTGTGCTGAGCGGCGTGCCGGGTGCGGCAATGGGTGAGGATTGGCGTGTATGTGCTAGTTTGGTTGCGTATTGCTGTGCGGCAGCGTATAGCGTTCTCCGCTTATCTTCCTTGGGCAGGAACTTGAGCGGGGTGTGGTAGACGTTTGGCGCCGAGGACGGGGGGTTGAAGACCAGTGTGGGCGCAGAGCGGTCGGGTGTGTAGGATGGGGCTTCGGGGAGTGCGAGCAGTTTTCTGTGTCGCCGGGTTGTGGATTCGAAGCGGCATTGCGTGAGGGGCAGGAGCGACGGCGTGGTCCGTTGCGAGGGACAGGCTCGGAGGAGGGATTTACATGTTGACATTGTGGAATTGGGTGTGTGGGTTGGCGTGCCTGCTGTGGTGCACGCGTTGGCACGGTGCTGGCCGTTTCCTGGTGGAGCGATGCCGAACTTTTTTAGTTGTTCCGCGCCGGGGTGGTCAAAGCTGGGCGGGATCCTGTCTTCCACCCCCAGACTACCGCCGGCACTTGATCAGGGTACAGTGCGCATGACAACATTTTAACGTTGTGCGACTTGTCATAGGCGTAAGACTTCGATGAAAATGCACGATCTGAGCCTGTCATTTCATCGAGCTGGGGTCAACGGAGAAGCACACTGCTGAATGGGTATTTATTTCTTGTTGGTAGCAAACCATCTAAGTATTTACGGAAACAAGACCGACGATGTTACTCATAGTGCGGCATTCTACTCGCGCTTCATCTCTCCTGCAACGTAGTGCAAGTAGGCTCCTAGCAGCTTGGTGCCCTCAATGTAGTTCCTCTTGTCCAGCTTCTCGTTGATTGAGTGAGCAGCGTCAGTCGAGCTACCCATAGGTAGCAACAGGACGTTCTTGCCGAGCTCTTCTTGGAAGGTCAATGTGACAGGAATGCTACCACCCTCCCGAGTCATGTCTGGCTTTACACCAAAGACACGTTCGACAGCCTTGGCAGCAGCAGTGTAGTTGGGGTGGTTGGGGTCCTCTACCCACCACTTTCCGCAGTGTACCACGCTGAACTTCATCGTGTTCTTCGACTTCAGCTTAGCAAACTCGTCGTTGACGTGCTTCTCAACCAGCTTGGTGACTGGGTCAATCTCCATGTTGGGTACTGTGCGGATGGAGAACTTTCCAATAACCTTTGCTGGGATAACGGTCTTTGCTCCCTCAGAGTAGAAAGCACCCTCAATACCGTGGAGGGATAATGAAGGGTATCGCATCTTGTGCTTCAGTGCTTCCTCCTTGCTGTCGTGGATCGTTACTGCACCACCTAGTGATTCCCTCAGACCATCCATGGTGAAGGCAATGGGTGGGTAAAGTGCGGCCTCCTCGTCAGTAAGGGGAGCGACAAGATCGTCGACGCCCTTGATGAGGATCTTGCCATCGGGGTCGACGAATGAGTTCATGATGCGAACCAAGTCGGTCATGGGCTCGTGTGTCATTCCACCGTAGACACCGGAGTGTAGATCTTGACCAGGGCCAGAAACCTCAACTTGGTAGTAGTTGCATCCGCGGACACCGTATGTCAAGCATGGCTTCTCAGTTCCTAGCCAGTAGTTGTCCGAGATACAGACAACGTCGACGTCCTTGAAGAACTTCTTGGCCTCGGCGCGGATGGTGTCGTCCAGACCTTCTGATCCGTTCTCTTCCATGCCCTCGAAGCACATGACCAGGTTCACTGGTAGCTCTACGCCGGCCTTCTGATGGGCCTCGATGGCGTTCAACCAGCCAAGAACCGGGCCTTTGTCATCTGTGCTACCGCGTCCGTACATGCGGTCCTTGTCATCGATGCTCAGGGTGAAGGGGTCGGTCGCCCAGCCGTCGGACTTGTTCGCGGGCTGCACATCGTAGTGACCGTAAACGAGGACGTTGAGCTTCTTTGGGTCGTTTCCGTAGCGTCCGAGAAGACACGGTGGGAGGTCAAGGTGCTCGCGACCAGGCTGCTTTCCGAGCTCGCGGAGCTCAACCTCACCACCGAGTGCCTTGATCTGGTCGGCCAACCAGTGGCCCATCTGCATTTGAAGTCAGTCATACATTCAGACATGCATCTAATATCTTAACCCAAAACAAAGACTTGACCGCATATCTCTTGGGGCTTCATGTCGTACCTTGACTACATCGGGTCTCCTCTGGTCCTCGGAGCTGATACTGGGAATAGCGACCGCCTCCCTCAGCCTCTCAATAAAGGCTCCCTGCAAGGCATCTACCTGCTTGAAGTACGGGTCGAGGTGTGCCATCTTGTTGAACGGGTGGTACAGATACGGCCAGGCGGCGTTGGGTATTCGTTCAGGCGTGTATTGGTCGCAGCGGATAGGCGTTGCAACGAGTCTAGGTGCGGGCGAGAAGTGGAAGCTTCGTGGATGACAGAAGAGGCTTCTATGAGTGGCTGTGGCGTTTATTCGCGGTCTACAGGCTGAGATGAATCGGGCAGGTGCTCGTTGTCCAAGGGCAAATTGGGTGGGGAGGGGCAAGCGGGGCATGATTGAGAGGGCACAGGGCAAACGCGCGAACGCCAACCACACCGTCGGTCAAGTCAAGCCTGTCAAGCTTCCGATGAGTGGATCAGCTGGCCCAAGCTTGCCTAGGGAAGCATGCACGAAATGTTCCCTGCATATTCTCGCGCATGCCTCGGTCTGCAGTCATCGTTGGCATTCCAACTCATACAAGGAATAATCTGAACAAGTCTGCAGCCTACATGAGTATGAAAACAAGCAAACTAGAAGACCTAGCGTCAATATAGGATCCAAGGTGGTCAGATTTCCATTGGCTGAAGCAAGTCCATCACCCTGTACATCTTACAATCTGAAGAAAACCCTGCAAGCAAGTATGGATAATGAGCTACAACAGATCGCTATGCAGTGACGATGCAAATGCTACAAGGCTCGCGAACGAAAGACACGAAACATACAGGTATCAAGACGAAAGGGTAAAACTGAGATCGCAACATGTATCCCCCATCGTTAGCAGCAAGAGATCGTCCATGGTCAATAACCGACAAATTGGTACCGCAAACATTGATATCCATCATTCGTTCATCATCTTGTTCTAGGTCCGACTCTGTGTCGGACTGAGATCATCCCCAGCGGCTTGGGCGTCAGCTGAAGTACCGTCCTCGAAGGAGGGGACAGTGAAAGTCATGCCTCCAGCCTGGACTGACTGCGAAGATTGACTGGTGGTCTGTTCCGTAGACGTCACCTGCGATGTGGAGCTTGAGAAGTTCTGCCCGAAGGTGCTGGAAGATCCAGAGGAAAAGTCCTGCTGAGAGTAGTGCTGGGGCGCGGAGCTCTCGTCCCCATGTGCGAAGGAACGATCACTGGAACTCGGTCGCACGTCTGGTGCAGGGTCGCTGCTAGCAAAGTCTTTCTCGACAACGCTTGGGAAAGATCCGGGAATGCCCTGATCGTTCGCTCCATCAAGTCCAAATGAAGTGCCAGTCTTCTCCTCCCCGGCAATTGAATGCTCGGGAAGTGCACGCATTGGCGGGTTTGGGTGCTCGTCTTTCTTCAGGTGCTCGAATTCGATCAGGGATGACCGCCGTAACTGGTCAAGCTTCTCCTCTGGATTCTTAAAAGTTCAAAGTCAGCTCATGATTGAAAGAGGAAAAGGTGTATCGTAAACACACCCATTCGGTCTGATCCGGCACTCCTGTGGCAGAAGGTAGCTCGCCTGTCTGGTTCCTCTCTTCGCCCCAGAACATTGGACGACGAACCGGCGCAGGTGTTACAGGAAGACTCGGTCGCTCCACTGCGGACGGGAAGTCGGTAAGGACTAAGCTCTCACGGCGTTGCTTGCGATCCAATATAGGCGAACTAATGTCATCCGTGCCTGTGGTCTGTTGTAGCGACTGGTTCTTACCCCGTATTCCACTCAGATCCGATATGGCACGAACATAGCTGTCGATGCCTGGAACATTATCCCAGGCGTTGCCGCTATTGTTTTGATAAGACTGCCAGCCTTGGTCAGTAGAGCTCGAGGCTATAGTATTACCAAGATTTCTAACCTTTTCGGCTGCGACTGGAGCGACCTTATCACTCTCGTCGAAGTGTGTGGTTGAGAAAGCATGTGTTGGCGACATCACCTGAGGGGTTGGCTGTGGTGACAAGTCCTCGGCAAACACACGCGTCGGCTTAGGTCTATCCGCCTCTTGCTCCCATGGGAAAATGGGCTTGGGCGCTTCCCTCGTTTCTGGAACCTGGTACCACATGTCTCGCGGCGCATCGGGATAGGCTCGTGGTGCCTTGAAGAGCGATCGGCTATCACTGAAGGCATACGTTTGCGTAGGGAAGTTGGCAGCTTCGGGTCTCGATGACGCTGGTGGCTCAAACCTGGACTTGTCAGCTGTTACCCAGTGATCTCGATGTGAAAAGAGCGTACTTGGTGGCGTCCCACTGCATCTCGGGCGCAGAGAACTTGCGTTGTTCGACCGTGGGGGTTGGTTCTATCACACCTTGGTCAATATTCTGAATCTCATCTTCAAATTCGGTCATGGGAGGCTCGGTCGTAACGGCGGAGGCTTCGAGAGGGGCAGGAGTAGAGGAAGAAAGCATGGAGTCACCAAGAGTGCTCTTTCCCTCACCAGCTCGTTGGCCCTTCGCCTTGTGCAGATGCCTTTGATGCACCGCCCACCATCGCGCTACCAGTTCTCCATAGACACCCTTCCCACCCGCATGTTGGGCCATCCAGGGCTTGTTCTTGCCGATAAAGTGGACCGCGGCGATGTCGCGCTTGTAGTGGCGGTATGCGGGCTCCCATTGGTACTCGGCATTTGGCGTACAGTTGTAGGTAAACTTCAATCGCTGCCACGGACGGTGTTCAAAGTACTGGTTCAGTAAGCCTTGGTCTGCGCCATCGAAACTGTCACCAGTCGCTGCCATGGTCTGCAGTGCCCAGTACTCGCCCATGTCTGGCGTGATGACCATGACACCGCTGTTGAAAGCATCTGGCCAGCCAATATCTGGAGCGGCAGCAAACGACGCCTCGATGTCGAACAGCTCGTCCAACGCCCTCAGCGCTACCACGTCTGCGTCGAGGTACACGAGCTTGCGGAACTGAGTCTGTCTCCATAGAGCAATCTTTGTGAACGCAAAGGCCAAGTCGGGTCGCCCCATGACATAGAGGTTCGCAGGATTGGCATTCCGTATGCGCTCGACGGGAATCAGGTAGTCGTAGAGCGTCTTGAGCTCTGAAATGGTATCAGCTGAAAGCGTCTCCATCGTGACGAGCACGGCAAGCTTCTTGGTGGTGCCGGCATCGCGCAGAGAGTTTGCAAGGACAACTGCGCCTGGTAGGTAGGAATCGCTCATAAGAAGCTGCACGATTGATTAGCTCG